GGCATCAGGAAGGTTAAGAACTGCTGCTGTCGCCAGTACCTTTCAGCCCTCTGGCATGTACCTTGCCTTTTGCCCACTCTACTGAAAGGCATGCCCAAGAGATTGCCTGTTTATTCTTCCCCCTGGGCTACCCATCCTCAGGGCTCACACTTCGGAGACCTGTACTGTTTGATGTCATTGTCCATGATGCTCACAGGGAAAACCTCCTCCCTCTGATGCAGCTCTGCACTTCCCTGGATTTTCTAGGATTACGTCCTGGTCTTAGGTCTCTGTAGCTTCCTACCGACAAACACTACTGCTTGGGGATGAGAGCTAACATTCAATGAGTGCTCCACAGGTGCTTGGCACGATTCTGATCTTCAAAACCACGATTATCTGGAACCCAACCAGCCAGCAGCCCAACTCCCTGTCATCGAGTCAATGAAATAGGTTCTGTTACTACCCTCGCTTTACAGACGCAGAGATGTTGCAAGGGCCGTTAACTTAGCCAAGGTAACACAAACTAACTGATAGCTCTAGAATCCAATCTCAGGCCGGCTAAATGCCACAGTTTTGAGTGTGGTTTTAGCCCTACTGCCACGTGGGCCCTCAAGGCTTTGTTCTCAGTCCTTGGCTCTTTCTCACTAATTGCTCCTGTAGAAAATGTAACTACTTTTAGTCACGTTCACAGGAAGGATTTGTACTCAGGCAACCCAAATCCTCATCCATCTACCCACTTTGGCCCAGGCAGGCATTCATTCAGTCAGTCAGTCGTCCTTTAAACATGGGTGGTCAGCCTCCTTTGGGCATGGCACAACACACGGTGAGGAGGAGGATGAATGTCAACGTAGATTATGTCTCTACGGAACTGCGGGGAGGAGGGGGAGGCAGCGGCGATTTTCACTAAAACTCAAAGTAACCTGCATCATGAGAAAGCACTATGTCCACAAGGAAGAGGGACAAGGAGAGAGGACTTCTAATAAGGCTTCTTCATGGATGTAGCATGATTCAAGCTACATTTAGAAAGAGGTGCAAGATAAATATTGGCATAAAAACATCTAGTCGAGGGAAAATTGAGTGGAGACCAGAAAATAGGCATATACAGAACGGGGAGCCCACTAAAACTGGCTGGAGTTTACCAAAAACACAAAGCATCTCATTGCCATCCAGTCAATGACACCCATAGCAGCCCGACAGGGTAGAACCGCCCCTGTGACTTTCCGAGGAGTGGCTGGTGGTTTCGAGCTATGGACCTTGCATTTAGCAGCCTGAGGTGTGACTGCTAGGCCACCACCACCTGGGATGGACTATAACAATCATCCTGGTTCCTCACTTGGGATAGCCTACCTTTAGGCCAATTTTTCCAATGGAATTACTATGAGGACACCTTTTCACTCATAAGCATTCCCATTTAGGAAACTGTGGGTTCACATCGTGCTATCTGGAGAGAAGATTTCAGTTGTCAAGGATGTCTTTTTACCTGGGCTTACAGTCAATGCTCCAGGAAGCAGCGGTCAAGAAACCAAATGATGAGGGAGGAGTCGGCTGCCAATGACCTCTTTCAAATGTTAACGCAAAGGGACATTTCTAATCCCCTCCTCTTCCCATGGTAGCCGGACAATGGAGAAAGGGGATTGGAAAAGAATGGCTGGATGATGCTTTGGGGAAAGACTATTGAATGGACTGCCAGGAGAACTACCAGATGTGTCTGAGAAGAAGCACCCTTGGGATGCTCATCAGAAGTTCCGATGGTGAGACATCATCTCGTGTACTTTAGACACGTTAGCAGGAGGAATCAGTCCCTGGAGGAAGGACACCATTCTCGGTAACATAGAGGGTCACTGAAAAAGAGAAAGACTCTCAAGATGGAGTGACAGAGTGGCTGCGACCATAGGCATAAATTGCAAAGATGGTGAGGACACTACAGGACGAGGCACTGTTGTGTTCTATTTCCCATAGCGTTGCTAGGAGTCCACACTGACTCAACAACCCTAACAATAACAACGGTCACCCTAAGTACAGAGTAAGACAGGAAGTAGGAGGGACTAGTCTAAAAGGACAGACCTGATGGTGGCCCAAAAAGGAAAGGCCTTTGGCCAAAGACGGCAGGTTCTTCTGTAAAACTGGAGCATGGTTAAAGGTTTAATAGCATGCATTTTGGTAGGAGCAGGCAGTACTCACAAATTCAAATAAGAGTCTGGAAAAAACAGGGTCATGGATACTCATTGTGAAACGTTTGCAATAATTCTGGTAACAAATAATGAAGACCTGGGCCAAGAGAATGGCTGCTTAAAAGGGGATGAAGCTGGCGACTGTGAAACCCATAGCTTACCTTTGGTGTTGGCTAACTCTCTCTCTCTCTCTCTCTCTTTTCGCAGTTTCATTAGCATATAATTCACAGATCACACAATTCAATAGTTGGATCATATTAAAAAGACTTGATAAAAGGTTAGAGAGTAACAATTTCAGCCTTTGCAGGGCAGGTGGTCTAAGTCACAACTACACAACTGTGCCCGTGCAGCCGTAGGTGGTACTTCAATGAATAACCACGGCTGTGTTCCAAGAGAGGAGGACTGGTGGCACTGTCAGGTAAGCACTGGACTGTTAGCCACAGGACAAAGATGAGATGGTGTTCATTCATAAATAGTTACAGCGTTAGAAACCCTACATAGGGTTAATGTGAGCCAGAATCTACTCGATGGCAGTGGATTTGGATGTTCAAATAAAACATCATTCATGGGCAACAGAATTCCAACTTCAAATGACTTTCATACCCATGAAATACCTCTTCTTGGATTTCAATCATTTAAACATGTAACAACCCATTTTACTTCGCTTGTGGGCTGGACAGAAAAAAAGCGAGGGACGGGCATTGCCCACAAGCTGTGGTTGCCCCCTCTGGCCTAGCTGGAAGGGGCCGGTGGCATGGTGGTTAAACTGCTCAGCCGATGTTTAAGGCACCACTCATGCTGTGGGACAGAGCTTGTGTAAAGAGTTAGAGGCTTGGAAACCCTATGGGGCAGTTCCACTGGGTCCCACAGGGTCAGTATGACTCAGATTGACTGGACAGCAGTGGAATTTTTCTTTTTTTTGTCTAGCTACCATATACACATCTATGAATCACATCAGCATTGTTAACCTTGAACCACGCATCCTTTCACTCAATGGTCCCAACATTCTTAAATCACTAGGCTTTGTTCTTAGCCGGAATTGGGAGCACCTTAGCAATGGAATCCCATTCATCATGGTTTCTAGCTCTCAGAGAAGACAACGTGGAGCATAATTAAAGTGAGTTTGAGCACCTGACTTTTGCTCAACTAAATGATTTAGGAATGTGTTCAAGATAGAACTACAGAGAGAATTAGAAAGTCAACTTGTAAGCCTGCTTCAAGGATCTAACCTGCCACTGTGACACGTACCTGTTCCTGAGCAGGAGCTATGCCAACAGCCTTGATAGCAAAGAAATAGGTGATACAAAGAAAACACACTTTGTAGGTGCTTGTAATTTCAAAGACCTTTCATTCTACACCTGTATAGAAATTCCATCGAAATGGACTGCCGCTGCCTCCTCTTGAAGGTCCCTCCCCTTCCCCTGCCTGCGGCTCATCCGGTCTTCCAAATGAACATTCCTTGCGCTCTGCCCGCCCTTCCTTTCGTGGTTAGAAGTTAGTACTATCTGAGATGCTACTGTCACGGCTAATGAACAGGTGGAGCAAATCATAAGATGAAGCCCAGCCTACACACTTAACCTTATCTTCAATTTCCATAAGTTGAGCAAGAAGTTTAATCAGTGATGTGAAGCTGGGGTCCTACACAATGAAGGGCACAGAATCATAGTTCATTCGACCCAAAGCTCACATTTAGGTATTCAATTGCTATCCCACATTATCTAGAAGTTTTCCTTGGTCCAAATCCTCACTGCATTTTTCAATAACTCATAAGCCCCATTTTATTAGAATTTAAACTGTAAAGAGATAAACTGGGTATATCTGAGGACAAAGAGAAAGGGAGGTTAGTCACATCACGGATGAAATGGAATAATTGTCAAAAAAATGAAACGTAAGGACTCATCTCTTTGTAACTCTTAACGTCTCATACACATATACACACATACACAATCAAGCTCAATATTTAAATTTCAATCATAACTGTGCCTAAAATAGCCTATTGTGGAGTGTCATAGTCTATCCCTTTTTCTAAAGTTTTGCAGTTATTTCTCCATTTAGTTTGCATTGTAAGAACATCTCTTTTTCAAGAGTAATGGTTATCATTGACAAATGTTTTCCAAGTTAACCTCTCATTCTCCAACCTTACATCTTGTAACATCCTCCCCTGCTCACTTGATACAAGGGCTGACCAAACTATCGCAGGTAGACCCTCAACTCAGGGGAAGAAATCTATACCTTGAATTGACATCTAGCTGTGTGGGCCATGTCACCATTGTGGACAATACAGACTCATCACATCTGTTTCCTAACTTCAAGGCAGTAGGCTTTGATCGGACTGCTCCCATCAAATCCCAAAAATCTGGAGGCAAAAAAAATCTGGACCCGAGTCCCAGCTCTGCTACCTATTGACAATATGATCCTAGATAAGTTATTTGAATTCTTTGGATCTTGTTTCCTTATGCATAAAGATGAGAATAAGCAAATGATCCTTCTCAAAAAGGAATGAGGAAAATTAAATGAGATTATGATGAGCCATTCTACTCAAAAGGTTTCAAGTATTATGGGTTGAATGGAGGAGAGCTAAATTCACTCATCAAAACTTGAGGCCGATTGAAGCAGTTCTATTTTGCCAAAAGTGTGAGTCAATGCAAAAGCTGGAAATAAAGTAACACGAGCATGGGGGAAGACAAGAGAACAACGTAGGTACTGACCAAAGTGTGGTCAAATGTTTGGCACAAATGGTGGCAAGACACAGTCCCTAAGATGTAGTGCTAGAAATATCATCAATGCCAAAGCAACCTTCTACAATTCAAATGCTTCAGGGAGGTTAACAGTAAACATTTTACAAAGTACCTTTCTTCCTTGGGTCCAAGTTTCAGTGAAAGAGTTTCAGTACTCAGGAAAGTTTCAGTCCTGATTCCCCATGTAAACATCCCCTCACGCCATATTTCATTCCAAGGATGTTCAAAAGGCCTATCGGTGGAAACAGCTGCATGTACCTCTGTTCTCCAGGCACCAGACACACAAGGATGAAGGCATGGGTGAACACAGATACATCAATCATTACTCAAAGTGAATCGTGCTGGTTAATCTCAACCATGCGTAGAAGCCAGAGGAGGCAAAAGAGGAAGAAACGTTGAAAGATCTATGCAAACATGAATGGTGGTTGGCCTCTGGGTGACCAGATTAAGGGTGGTAATTTTTTTCCTGCTCCATTCTATTTCTGTATTCTAGAAAGTTTCTACAATGATCTTTTGGGTGTGGGTTTGGTTTGATATAAATATGGGCAGAATAAGAACATGGACTCTCCTTGAAGCTAGAAGGAACGAATGTGCTGAACCAAGATTTTGCTGGTGCACTTCTGGTAGGAAACTGTCTAGTCATCTTAATTTAAAAACAGACTTTTGTACACTCATGGGTCTCAGAAATAATATAAGGCAATACGTATCTACTTTTTTAAAGATGCAAAAACTAAGAGCCAGAGAGGGTTAATTATTTTCTTTTAAGAGCAGCAAATAGTAATTGCTTCAGGATGAAAACTCAGGTGTCCTGACTTCCAACTCAATGCTCCCTCCACAACACCGTTTGATTGACTCTATACCTCTCTAAAGCCCACCATCAATCAAGGAGACTCTATAGCACGCAAGGCAATGTGGGACTACAAAGATGGATAAGACAACCTAACTTCTGGCCTTGAGAGAGAGATTATAACAGACAAATGACCTGTGTTCAGACTTTATTATAGAACACCTTCTTACATCTTGGTGAAGGATAGCATTTGATTTGCTTTTGGTTTGTTTTTTGCCCTCCTTACTAGGCTTCAGTACTGCATTCCACCAGGTAACAGTCGGGTACCACTCACAAGCTATATACATCCTCCATCATTTGAAGGGCATTTTAAGCAGGGGACCCAGAGTTATAGCACGTGACTAACAATTTACTAGCCTTCAAAACTTAGCAGCGAACTTCAATTTTGCATATCCATCGTCATGTTCTAGTGAGTTCTAGTGGGATCCGCATGGTCATAGGTTCAAAACCACCAGTAACTCTGCGGGAGAAAAGGCTGGGCTTTCTAGCCCTGTACACAATTAGTCTCGAAAACCCCCAGGGGGTCCTGTACAACATCATCCGTGGCAGAGAGAGAACGGCGATTATGCTCCAGTGTAAGGCCGACCTTTGCCCCTTGCAAAAAATAGTGAGGAAACTACACACTTAAAACATTTGCGTTATTTCTTTAAAAGTTCTAAGAAGCTGTGATTTGGCTGCAGATTTAAGAGCTACCTAAAAACCTCTGCACACTCGCCTCCTGGCTGGGGTTATTCCGTCTCCTTTCGGAGCATTCAGATTTTTTTTTCCTACCTACCAACACTTTTCAGGCGAGTCAAAGCGCCCTGAAAATACTGGCATCGCCCTGAACTCAGTACACGGCGCTGATCTCCCTGCTCAGCAGCGTTTGCCACCCGTCCCGCGCCTGGAAGGTCCCGGAGCGAGGCGTTCATCCCTCCTCCAACTTGCCGGTATGCTGCCCATCGGGGCCCCACGGCCAAGTCTGGGTCCTCCTCTCGTCTGGCAGGCCTGTGACGCCCGGAGATGCTCCCTCCGGGAGGGGGACAGTGAAGAGGGACCACGGGGGCAGCGAGCCGTTGGAGCCAGATTCTCACCTGAGACTGTCGCGGGGAGCAAAGAAACCGCCTTCTCCGTGCTCCGAAGCCCCTCACAAGCCCCATTTACAACGGAAGCGTTCGCAAGAGCAATCCTTGCAAATAAAACCCCACTCACCTGCAGAGAGGCTGGCCGACGCTGCGCCTCCCGGCCGCCTACGAGCCACTGCCTCCTTCCCAGGACTGATCTTGGGCCCCCGGCATCAACGCTCTTTTCTAGCCCGGAGCTCGACCGGGCAGGTCCGAAGGCCTTTCCTATTGGAAGCCTGAGCTGTCACTCAGCCACCCTGCCGCCATTCCCGGGAGCCGGCGGCTGTCTTTTCCGTTTTCAACGCCCCCTCGCGTAGGAACTAGAACGCTGATTGGCTAGATGAAACGATGGGCATGAAAATGGACCAGTAAGAGGCTGACTTCAACCCTGGTGGGCGGGCTTACGCCTGGGGAAGTAGGAAGGCCAGCCTGTGAACGTCGCCCGGCAAATAGAAAACCCCCGGCTTGAGAAGCGTCTGGCCGTTTCAGGTTCTCAGTAGGGTTTTGTTTTTGTTCGTGTTTTGCATCATGCGGGGAGACTTGCCTGTGAAGAGCTGCTCGGCGGCCACTTGGAAAAGACGAGATGGTGTTTCTTCTACTCCTGGGAACGTTACGGATCGAAACCTGAGCTTGAAAGGGGACGGTCCTGCGGGACAAGTGTGTTTTGCATAAATACGTGGTTTTAAATCCCAAATTGTGACCGAAGTGAAAAGTGAAGGCGCCCAGCTTATGGGCTGAGCTACGCCTGGTTTTCTTTCATTGCTTTTGGAGGGATCCCCTCGGGCACTTTCAGTTGGGCAGGAAAAATGATGACGGTTGGGGGGCGGGGGTGTGTGTTGAATCAAGGGGACCTGATATCAAAGAATTCAAGAAGAAAAAGTGTTTGAAACCGATGGTGGCAGCAATTGTACAATTATGCATGATCTAATTCAATTATAGATTGTTACAATACCCGTAAGAGCTCCCAATACAGTGATTAAGAAAGATAAAAGTGATAATGGAATTCACCAGGGAAACCTCACGGGAAAGGAAGACCAGGTGGAGGAGGAGAATTACACCTTTGGAGGCCACAGTTACTGAACAGGTGTAACCTGCAGAGCCGCCCCCACCATATCCCTCATCCCCACCCCGCCCCACGCCTGCATGAGGCCCTGCCATCAAAGGTGCTTTGAAAGATGAGGTGATGTTTGGAAACATATATGTCAGACCTTTGGGCAAAGAGATAAAGAATGTTATGTTTGAAGACCATGTGGGAAATTCCCAGTTTCATTTCTAGAAGCTAGTGTTTAATGGCCTCCAAAAGCGATGTCCAAATCCTATACCCCTTGTTTTCCTTTTCTCCAAAACAAACACAGCCAACGTGACAAGAAAGCTTCTATACTTTGAATATAATGTCAAAGCTTCCTACTCAGAGTGCCCACCACCCGTGTTCTAGAGGACAAAGCCATTCATAAATAGCGGAGTTCCGACAGTTGACAGGGATTCTTGCTCTGGGTTTAAGGGAACCCGCTCGTTTGAATGTTGTTTCAATAGTTATAAGGGAGTAAGCTAGTTTGGCACATAGAATGGTATGGATAGCAAACATCATCTCTTCAGATTCAATCCTAAAAGCATTTGGTTTATGAATATGTGATTTTGGTACAAGATGGAAACAATTTAATCGGTGATTTGGGCAAGTAGAAATTAAATGTGATCCTTGTAGAATAAGTGGCCCCCCCCCAAAAAAAAGAAAACAGAAGGATGTCTTCTGTTTTCTAAGCACCAGACACCAAAGATGAAGGCATTCATCAATCATTACCTAAAATGAAAGGTGTCATTTAACACAACCAAGATTCTAGAAGAATCTAGAACAGTGGTTCTCAACCTGTGGGTCGCGACCCTTTTGGGGGTCGAACGACCCTTTCACTAGGGGTAGCCCAATTCATAACAGTAGCAAAATGACCGTCAGAAGTAGCAACGAAAATAATTTTATGGTTTGGGGGTCACCACAACGTGAGGAACTGTATGAAAGGGTCACAGCATTAGGAAGGTTGAGAACCACCCATCTAGAGGAATTACAGAAATCCTTATTCCTCTCCAGTAAAACTGTTTTCCATAGTTATCTGTGATAGGAATAGCACATCATGGGCCCTACATTTTGGGGTAATGAACTGTCTCACATAGGAACTTCTGAATAAAGACATCTTACCTTGCCTCACAAAGGTAGCCATAAACCTGTTTAAGACAAAGATGAACTCCAAAGGATATTAGCACTTGAGTGCACTTAATTAAGAAATTAAGTGCAGCCCCTCAGCTGTACAGGTGAGGAAGCTGAAGCTTAAGTCATTTGCTTAGGATTACCCAGCTGCTTAGAGGCCAAGATTCCAAAGTAGCTCATTCACCATTCTGGGAAAATACTTCCTCCTGCTGCTGCCTCCATCCCTTCCAGCCTCACATGTATTTTTAAAATTAAGATGGCTAATTTTGAAAGGAAAAACCAGACAGACAGTTAATATATCAGACGTTTTAATACAGCAAGTAGTTTAGAGACTATGACAGGAACTCCTTATGTCTTAGTTCACCAGTCCACTCTGAGCCACCTTTGGTATAGCCTTCCTTTTCATCGAAGCAAGAAATGAAAAACACAACAAAAGTAGTTTACCCAGAGTCTCATTCTGCCGTGCATTTCCTGAGACGTCATTATTCACTTTAATGTATGCTTCATTGAGGGTTAGTATAACAGAGTGCCCTATTCAGATCTGAATAAAATACTATTTTATGATAGTCTAGATACCTGGTCAAAATAATTTAGTACCTCCTTACATATAGCCCCTAGACTCAAATAGCCATTGGCTCCAATCTTCCAGCAAACTCAGGAGAGCTGGTTCCATGTCCCACACACAGGATTATCTCCTTTTCTGTCAGTGGTTCTCAACCTGGGGGTAGAACAACCCTTTCCCAGGGGTCGCCTAAGACCATCAGAAACACAAACATTCCACAATATATAATTACATATTATTTTGTGATTAATCACTCACTTTAATTATGTTTATGTTCAATTTGTAACAATGAAAATACATCCTGCATATCAGGTATTTACATTATGATTCATAACAGTAGCAAAATGACAGTGATGAAGTAGCAACGAAAATAAATTTATGGTTGCTGGTATAGATGGGAACTGGAAACACAAGGTATCCAGGGTGGATGATCCCTTCAGGACCAGTGGTGAGAGTGGCGATACTGGGAGGGTGGAGGGAGGGTGGGTTGGAAAGAGAGAACCGATTACAAGGAT